GGGTGGAATGGGAGGTGGGTGACGTGGAATTGGGATGGAGGAATAGAGGGGAATGGGAGATGGGGAATAGGAAATATCTGTTGGGGGATGGGGACAGAGATGGGGTGGAATGGGGATAGAGATGGAAGGGAGTGGGGAATGGGACCAGGCAGTGGGGTTGGAGTTGAATAGGAGATAGCAGATGGAAGCAGGGAATGGGGTGGAATGGGGAATGGGATAGGGATGAGGATATGGGGAATGGGAGATAGGGGATGGGGAACAGGGCTGGGGAATGGGAATAGGGTGGAATTGAAGATGGGGAATTGGGATAGGGATAAGAATCAAATATGGGGGATGGGGAATGGGATCGGGGATGAGGTGGGGTGGGGATAGGGATATGGGGAACGGGACTAGGGCATGGGGAATGGGGCTGGGAGGGAATGGGGATGCGGGGGATGGGAGACAGGGGATGGGGAATGGGGACCTGAGCCTGAGTGGGAAGGGCTGAGGGGTGCTGAGGGCTGCACACACACACAGGGGCACCATGGGTGTGTATGGGGCACCTCCTGTCCGTGCGCATTGGGTGTGGGGCGTGAGGATGGCGTGGGACACGCGTGTGTCAGGTGGTGTGCACATGCCTGGACACGCGTGTAGCTGTGTGTGGGGGGTGATGGTGTGCGTGCGTGGCTGCACGCGCTGCGGCACGTGGGTGTGTGGTGTGGGTCAGGGGTTACGGTGCCTTCATGGGTGGGTGAAGGGGGAACATGACTGTATGTGTGGGGTCACCCTGTACCCATAGATGCGTCCGTGGGGGACATCTCCATACCTGCTGGGAGGTGCTGTCTCTGATGTGGGAGGGGGGCAGGTGACATGTTCTAGGGATGGCACTCTGCCCAGTGCCCCCTGTGCACAACCCCCCCCCACCACCACCACCCTACCCTCTGCAGATTCCCGGGGGCAGTGAACCAGTGCAGGATCAGGGCAGAGGATGGACAAGTGCTTGGGGAGGGGAGGGGGCAGAAGGGCGAGAGCTGAGCCAGGGATGCAGTCACGGTCATGGGCAGCGAGCAGCTAGGTGGGGGGGAGAGGGGGGGAATCTGGGGCACACGCATGGGGGTGTGGGATACAACACTCTGCAGCCCATCCCACCCCACTGACCCCATCTCACTGACCTCATGCCATTCTCTTGCAGGGAACCCCCAGATCGGAGACTCCCCCCAGCCATTCTGCGCTTACCCCACCGGCACCCACCGTCTCCCCATGGAGACCCCCTCCAAGGTCTACAATCCAACCGGCTCAGACATCTCATCATCCCTCGGCCCCAACCGGCCCTATGGCACGGCCCTAAGCTGTCCCCAAGGCACAGACACCGACACCCCCTGGGGCAGCGGGGCCGGCGTCACACCGGGGTTCGGCTGCACCGCGCTCAGCCGCTGCGGGTGGGCTGCGTGCTGGGCACGTGTCAGGTGCAGAACCTCAGCCACCGCCTATGGCAGCTGATGGGCCGCCCAGGCCGTCAGGACTCATCCCCCATGAACCCCAACAGCCCCCACAGCTATGGGTGAGGGTTTTCTCCCCCCCACCCCCCTCCACCTCCCCCTTCCCAGGACTGTGTGGGTTGGGTAGGAGCTGACACTAAAGCACTTCCAGCGGCTGTGGGGCTCCTGTGCGCCTTTCTGTGGGATCCCTGTAGGGGATGGGGCAGGGGGGTGGTGGTGAAACCTCACAGGGATGTCCCCGTGGAGGGGATGGGATGGACGGAGCGCAGCCAGGGGGGGGATATCGACCGTGGGTCCAAGCGAGCAGCACTTCCACGGAGGTAGCGGTGTGACTGCTCCAAATCTGCAGCCCCATGGCTGCAGCTCTATGTGCTCCATTCCTGTGCCAACTCTGGGGTGCACAGCTGCACGGGACACCCCTGGGAGACCCGACACCTCCTGTCCCCATTGGGTCCCCGCCCCAGCGAGGTGCCCTGGGGTCAAACACTGCGATTTTGGCACAGATGCGCGCGGCCGCGTCCCCCAACCCGTGAGCGCTGACCCGGGGGATCGCGATCCTGCGGTGCCGCCTGGCGGCGGCGCTGCTCGATCTGTCCATCCGTCCACCCGTTCTTGTGTCCGCACGGCTCCCCGTCCATCTGTCCGTCCTCCTACCTGGCTGTCCGTCCGTACATCCACTTTTCCATCCGTGTGTCTGTCCATCCGTCTATCCATCTGCCCGCCTGTCCGTTTTTCCTCCTGTCTGCTTGTTCTCCTGGCTGCCTATCCCCCCTCCCCAGGTCCATCTATCTCCCCATCTCCTCTCCCCCATCAGGGTGCAGTGTCTCGCCCTCCAGTTCCCCCCCTGTTGGCTGCACTCCCAGGATGCGGGGGGTTCCCACGTTCCCTCTCCCTCCCCCCAGCATCCCCACCTTTCCTCCTACAGGCTGGGGAAAGCCATTGGGCCCTGGGTGGGGGGTGGCAGGGGAGGAGGGGACAGCAGCAGAACCAGGGACCCCCTAACCCCAATCTGCAGCCCGACACTCAGTGCCTCCCGCATGTCCCCACCAGCCCGTGCCCCTTTGCCCCGAGCAAGGAGCAGTGTGGTCAGACTTCAGCTCACCCCCCTCACCTCCCAAAGCCCTTGGGATCCTACCTACAGATGAAGTTCCCTCAGCAAGGGGTGGAATGTGGGGGGGAGGGCTCCTCACCTCCAGGTTGCATCGTGGGGCAGCCCAGGTTGTGGGGAGCAGCTCAGGACCCCCTGTTGCAGTGACTGCAGCACCTCAGGTCGCTGTGGCCATGGGCTCAAACATTAACTGGGGGTGGTTAACTGGTGACCAATTGCCCCTGCGCCTGGGGATAAAGGTGGGGGTCCTGGCAGCTGCATGTGTGCCCCCACCCCGGACAGAAATGAAGGTCCTGCAGGCGGTGAGTAGCCCATGGAGGACAGGACAGCAGCTACCCTCCCCTAAGGAAGCCCACCCCATAACTTGGAATAGTGTAGAGCAGCTGCCCATGGGGGAGGCAGAAGAGCCCCTGGGACTCTCTGTGATGTCCTCTGTGCAGTGGAAGGGGGGAGGGAGGGGTCCCAGGGCTTCAGTGCCACCACCCCAAAGTGGGGCCCAGGCCCATGAATCTGACTCCCAGCACGTGGATCTGACCGTGCAACACTGTGCAGTGCTGCTCAACGTTGTGCAGTGGGGTGGGGGGCTTTTTTCTGGGGGTCACAACGTCCCTGAACCCTCACTCTGCTCTGGGGTGGTGGAGGGGTGGGGGCACTGGTTGGGTTAAGGGCTGGCCCTGCTCACCTGGAGCCTTCCACCAGGACCCCAACCCTAATGAGCCACAGGCCAGCAAGGACAAGGCTGAGCTGCGCAACTACACGGTGAGGGGCGGCTGTGGGGCTGGGGAGAGGCCATAGGGCTGAAGGGTCTGGGGGGGGGGGGGGCTGCAAGGTTAGAGGGAATCCATAGGGACGGAGGAAATCCATAGGGCTGAGGGGTCCATGGGGCTGGGGGGAATCCATAGGACTGAGGGGTCCATGGGTCTAGAGGGAATCCATAGGGCTGAGGGGTCCATGAGGCTGGAAGGGAGTCCATAGGGCTGGAATGTCTGTGGGGCTGGAGGGAATCCATATGGCTGAGAGGTCTGTGGGGCCAGAGGGAGTCCATAAGGCTGGAAGGCAGTTCACAGGGCTGAGGGATCGATGGGGCTGGGGAGGGGTCTGTGGGGCTAGAGAGAATGCATAGGGCTGGAAAGGTCTGTGAGGCTGGGGGGGTTCCATAGGGCTGGAGGGAACCTACAGGACTGAAGGATTTGTGGGGCTGGAAGGAATCCATAGGGCTGAGGGGTCCATGAGGCTGGAGAGATATCTGTGGGGTGGGGAAGAGCCCATAGGGCTGAGGGGTCTGGGGGGCTAGAGGGAATCCATAGGGCTAAGGAGTGCATGGGCCTGGAGGGAATCCATAGGGCTGGAGCGGGTCCATAGGGCTGAGAGGTCTGTGGGACTACAGAGAATCCATGGGGCTGGGAGTCCACAGAGCTGGAGGGAGTCCATAGGATTGAGCGGTCCATGAGGCTGGGGGGAGTCTATAGGGCTGAAGGGTGGCCTGTGGGGCTGGAGGGGGGTCCATAGGGCTGGAGAGGGTCCTGTGGACTGAATCCCCCAGCCCTGACCCATTGCTGCAGGAGGGGAAACTGTTGGACCGTGTCTACAACACGTATCTGCAAATGCACACCCACCAGACAGTCGATTTTGTGCGTAGGAAGGTTTGTGTTCTGTGGGGGGTCTTGGGGATGGAGAGGTGGGGGGTCCCTCTAGGCTGGTGCTCACCATCCCCACATCCACAGAGTGCTGAGTACGGGGGCTGCTCACTGCGCAGGATGAGTGCCATGCAGGCACTGGAGCTGCTGGACCAACTGGTGGATGAATCCGACCCAGATGTGGACTTCCCCAACTCCCTCCATGCCTATCAGACTGCAGAGGGCATCCGGCGTGCCCACCCTGACAAAGGTGGGGTGGTAAAGGGGGGGTCCGGTTGCCTGAGCCCCCTCCCCAGGCTCCGGATGGGGGGCTGACAGCCCCTGCTTACCCCCAGATTGGTTTCACCTCGTGGGGCTGCTGCACGACCTGGGCAAGGTCCTGGTGCTGTTCGGGGAGCCCCAGGTGAGGTGGGGGGGGTGAGAAGGGTTGGGGACTGCGGGACCCCCTCCTTGGGGACCCCTTGGGGGACACTGGGGATGTTTGTCACCCCCTGCAGTGGGCGGTGGTGGGGGATACCTTCCCAGTAGGCTGCAAGGTGCAGAAGTCAGTGGTCTTCCATGATTCCACCTTTCACAACAACCCTGACACCAGGGACCCCCGGTACAAGTGAGTGCAGCCCCTCTGCAGATGGGGAACTGGGAGGGGAAGGGCAGCATGGTGCAACTCTGACCTCCTTCCCTGCCCCCCAACTCTGCCCCCCCAGCACCGAGTGTGGGATGTACCAGCCCCACTGCGGCCTGGAGAATGTGCTCATGTCCTGGGGACACGACGGTGAGCGTGGGGGGCACTCAAGAGACCCAGAACCTTTTGCACACATGGGGGGGGGGGGCTACCCTCCATAGCCCCCCCTCCTCTCCCACCATGCACAGAGCATTGGGGTGGGGGTCAGCAGCCCAGCCCCCCAAACATCCACTTTCTCCACAGAGTACATGTACAGAGTGATGAAGTTCAACAACTTTGCCCTGCCCAAGGAGGTAGGGGAGGGTTGGGGTTGTGCAGGGGGGCCAGTCACCCCAGAAGGGCTGAATGCTCCCCCTCCCCCCTGCAATACCACAACCCTGCCCCCCTCTACCCTCCCCTTCCAGGCATTCTACATGATCCGCTTCCATTCCTTTTACCCCTGGCATGCACACGGGGACTACAAGCACCTGTGCAACGAGGAGGACCTGCGCATGCTGCCCTGGGTCAAGGAGCTCAAGTGTGTGGGGGTGGTCATGGTGAGGGGGGGGGGAAGGTGCTTTACACCCCCCTCTCACCACCTCTGACCCCCCCTTCCCAATGTGCTCCCCCAGCAAGTTCGATCTGTACACCAAGCAGGAGGAGCTGCCCGACGTGAGGGAGCTGCAGGGGTACTACCAGGCCTTGATTGATAAGTACTGCCCTGGGGAGCTCTGCTGGTGAGCTGGACCTCCTCCTCCAGCCACAGCCCTCTCCTCCTCCAGCCACAGACCCCCCCAGCACTCAGCACCCACCCCCACTGTGTTCACCTCTGTGCCATCAATAAACCCACTTGCCACGTAGATAACGCATCGGTTGTATTCAGGGTGTGGGGGGTGTGATGGGGAATCCCACCCCCCCAACCCCACAGAGGGAGGGCTGTTCCCCCCATCCCCTCTCTCCAAACCTAAGGGAGAGGTCTGGGGTTGGAATGTCAAAGGCTTTATTTAGAAAATTATAGGAAACCTCTGTGCCACCCACTGAGCTGAGGGGGGGGGAAATGCAATGCAGGCATAACAACCCCACCAACACTCCCCCCTCCCCCCCCCCCCAACCCCAGCACAAGGCAGCTGAGACCTAGCACAGCCCCTACCCCACAGCCCAGCCAACTGGGGGGGGGGCACAGGGGCAGCCCCAGCTGGGGGATGGGGGCAAGGAAGCAGTCACACACTGCGCTGACCCAGCTGTGCATGAAGGCACCGCAGGAAAGCAGCACGCCAGCCCTAGCCAGGAGGCCCCCCCCATGGGGATGGAACTGGGGGGAGGAGCTGGAGGTGGGGATCTGGGGGGGAAGCGGCGGCACTCAGTGCGTGGAATACGGGGCACCCAGCACTGCTACTTCCTCCTCTTGGTGCCACGGGGGCCTTCACCATCAGCTGCCCCCCGGGTTCGGCCTTCACCCTTCTCCTCCGCCTCCCTGCCCTCCTTCCTGCGCAGCTGCCCGTTCTTCTCCCCCTGATCCCCCCGCTGCTGTTTGGGTGCTTTGTGGCGGGTAGGGGGTGCACCCCCCCGGGGCCGGCGGGCCATGGCACGCAGCAGGCAGGCAGTGGCAGCCACCAGGTAGAGGGACCACAGCACGACGTGGGGGGAGAAGGGGCGGCTGAGCTGGCGCACGGAGCTCAAGAGCCAGGGCAGGAACGCATCCACGGGGCGCCTCAGGGGCAGCTTATCCTGAAGAGGGGGGACAAGGGGTTGGGGGGTGAGCTGCGAGCTGTATCTCATGGGGCTTGGTGTGGTGTGGGGAGTGGATCCTACCTTCAGCCCGTGCTGGGCAAGCAGACCATCCAGCGTTGGATCTCCCAGTGAGACAGTGGGGAAGAATTCCTGAACGTGCTGCCTCCGCCACCACCGTGCAGCTCCCGCCCTGCAGGACACAACATCAGGGATGGGGATAGG